ATTCCTGCACCTTAGGACTACAGTTTGATTTTGCCCTCCTTTACCATAAAAATGTAATACATATGTGCCTATTCATAGCTAGGCTGATAGAAACTAACTCTCAAACAGATCTGGCTTCAGATACAAGAGTAACTACCACCTAGGTGAAGTCAGTTTTCTCTATCCTCCCTGCAAAGCAAACCGGATTTGGAAAAGAGGACAATGGGGGAAAAATATCAAAGATCACACACAGCTCTTGTCTGCACGCAAGAAAGTCAGGTATGGGATAAACCAAGGAAGTATTAAGCAAGGGAGTAGACCAAAATGGCATGTTTTAATAGCAAAGAGGTGCCTTTTAACTCACACTATTTTAAAAAAAGAAAAACTGGCTACAAAGGAAAGATGGTACTTGGAAGAAGTTACCATGTGAGCACAGGAAACCCTGACCCCCTAGAGGATGCTGCTACTTGCAGCCCAAACACTCAAGTGGGTGAGGAAACCTGACAAAGCACACGAAGTGGTTTTGTGTATGTGTATCTGCTGCTTGTGTGCTACCTGGGAGCAACTGGCTTGTCAAGTTTGTTGAGCACGCTTCTATGGGTGTGAAGAGTTTCTCTCTTCAGACACATCAAAACCTAAAGTTGCAATAAGCTTAAGTCACTGGGGATTTTGAGAACTTGTTGGGGAGGGTAAAGAAGATCAGCACTACAGTGTACTCAAAACAGAGGAAGCAGAAGAGCTAACGTGATAGGACCTAAATACAACAACCTGATAAGCCAACAGGGAAAAACAACTCTCCCAGTGCCACAAGCACTGCTCATTCATTACAAACAGCAGCACCCAAGAGCACACCTACTCGTCTTAAGAAACAGTTGTTCTGGTTTTATTAGAAAAGAAGAAAGCAAGGTGCCTGAATTCCTTTAAGTTTTTCTGTCTTCGAATAAACGTTCTTGTCTGAGGACTGAATAGGTTGAAATCAATCGATGAATCAATTGGATGAAAGAGACATACTAAATAACATGAAATACAATTTAGCTACCATTAGGTTCATCCAGCAATTATCAACAGCTTTATTTCTGATACTGATTTAGTCACTGGCCAATGAATAAACAAATTAAACTTTTAGGCTGTTCAACCATGCAGGTCTTCCTATGCAGGCAACATTTTTGCTGCTGTTAAAAAAAGAAAACCACCTTGCGCCTGCCACGAAACTAGCTTGTACCGCAAGACAAGGTCTCCTTGGTTCCATGAACCCCAACCACTAATGAAGACTCTTGGAAAGAGCAAGCTTCTATGCAAAAGTCCAAAAAGGAACTTCAGCACTACCATGCTATGATGGGCAATCCTATCTTTCAGGGTATCTGGCTGTGATAACAGACTTCTAGGTCATGGATCCAAGAGGGCTTTGGCACGACCTAAGCTCTGTGATGTTTCTAAGGCACAAAAAAATACAACTTCAGGCACGCTGCAAAGTTTAGGATCAAGGACATCCAGAGTTCAGACACCTCCAGAGTAAGCACCAGCTCAGTGGGGGTTTGAGGATTGCAATTTTTGACTTAGGCATCTAAATTAAATTCAGTTTGCAGCCTATGACACCACTCCAAAAGAGATGTCTGAATTCAAAGGAAGACTTATCACTAAAGGCTTCCTCTCCTTCTTTCCTCCCCCTTTGAATGTGTAACTCACAAATTTCAGAGTACTTGATACCAAAAAAAGAAAAAAAAAAAAAGAAAAGAAAATCAGACTCAAAACAAAGGTATTAGCTTCCACAATATTAGCATTAGATGTTAGATTTTACTCACCAGGATGATTTGATATAGGAGGCTGGAATGCAAGTTCATTGTGAACTGGCCCTTTAAAAGAAAACATGAAATTTGTTTTACACAAGGAAAAAATAAGGTTTTCTTAACTTGTTTTTCCTATGAGAAAAGACTTCTGAGAATGCCAGATGTTATAAATCCCATAAATTATATATATATAAATTCAGTAGTTTCTGAATCAGTTGGCCAAATCTGACAGGGAAGAAAAATGCCCACAGAAGAATTACACTTAGAGGTTTCCTAAAAATTCAGAAGCTGAGTAGAGCTAAGAGCTCCATTAGTACCCCAGGAGGAAAGGCTGCATGCTGCTCAAGCCAGACCCAGCTCCAGGAGAGAACAGAAACCAGATGTAGCACGGAGATATAATACAAATAGGACTGAGGCTTCACATCTGCCCCAAGTTGGGCAAGGAGAGAATCATTGTATAGAGGCATGTGATATAAACCTGTCAGAAACCACACTTCGTTAGTTTCATCAATCACAAAACAAGTTGTCCAGCATGCTGCTGACCTGACCATAAGAAATACTCCCTGAAGACAGGATATAAACCTGTCAGAAACCACACTTCATTAGTTTCATCAATCACAGAACAAGTTGTCCAGCACGCTGCTGACCTGACCATAAGAAACACTCCCTGAAGACAGAAAAAAAAAGCCCTAGAGAACTCATTTTCTTAAAAATAAAAAATAAAAAAAAAATACTGAATATGGTCTTGGCATCGGTCAGTTCGTTCTCTCTGCTTCATAAACTAAACTGGGTCCCTTGGAGGCAGTCGAGAACAAGACTTAAACATAGTATTCTAAGTAACAGCAGCTTTTGCAACAAGATGTCAAAACAGGCACAACGCTAGCAGGTGTTAAAACATGCGATTTTCTGAAGTGAGAAATGGTAGCAGCCTAGAAAAGCTCTACGTGGTATCACCAGCCAGTTACAAATATTAATTATGGAAAGATACATGGACTGAGAAACATTTCTAGAGTATCTACAGCACCACTAAAGTTTTCACATCCTGGTATTTCTGACAAATAAGATGATAAATTAAATCGGATCCTGACAGAACAAAATAATGAAGATTGATAACCATATCTAAAGCAAAATTTTCTTGATAGAGACAAGCTGAAAAGTCATTCTAACATTAACTTGCAGTATATTCTCCGCTAACAATGACTACTGCAAATAGTTGATCTGGTTAAGCACTCTATTAGGAAATAATGAACTGTTCTAGCTTTGTGCCACAAAATTTAGAAAAATTTCAATTTGGGTGGGGTTTTTGCACTATACTCTTATAATGCATATACTTCAGCCGCTAGACATTTACACTTGAATTTTGATCACTTTTTTTTTTCCTACCCATCTCCTGTACCTTAAAACAAGAGGTTGTGGTCCTATTTTGCAGATGAGAAAGATTTTCAAGTTTCTGTGCCAAATGTACTCATGAATCAGGCTGTGGCAAGACCACTTCATTGACAAGTATTTCATTGCACGAGCTTTCACAAAGTTCTTTCAAACTGGCTAGCATACACGGACACATGTCTTCCAAAGCTTAATGTAGACTCTTACATCACTAAGACATGACTTCAAAATTTCTAGAAAATAAAAACAGCCAGGAGCTTCCAAGTTTTGAAAGAAAAATACCCAAACACCACATTCTGAATCAACTTCTTTTTCTGCAAAGGAAATATTTACTACAAGGTTGCAAAGCTTTGAAAACAGGAGGTTTGGAAAGGAAATACTGGTTTTGGTAGGTATAGTAAGACATCTATAATATTGATGGTATCACTATAGCTATCTGAATTTCTAATCTCTGCTGCTCTAATGGAGGAAAGTCCATCAAGGTCTTATATTGAACGGTCAGAAGATACTAAACACAGTAACGGTCGTTCTATAATGAAAAAAAACCCCGATTTGAGAGTAAAGAACAATCACAAATGAGCCCCCACCGTTCAAAAACATTGAAAACAACATTTTGATCTGAAAAGATTTGAAAATCTGCGCTACTTACAGTAATGTCCAGGGTGCATAGGTGGATGATGCTGAAGATGGCCATTCTGGTGGTGAGGTATGGTAGGTGTGTAGGCTGCCGTCCGACTTCCAGTCCAAGTTGTGGTACTATCTAGAAAAAGAAAGGAACGGTTGGTTTTTAAGGGAGTTTTTCCCCATCTCGCTTCTAATCCTCTATTTCTCCTGAACATTTGGAAACTGGTTTTAGAAAACTAAGAAGAGTGCACATATGTATATACTCACTGTGATGGTAAGTAGCTGGCTGAGCTGTAAACCCATTCTGCTGAGTTCCTGGCTGAGGCCCTGAAGCAATCTGTAAGAGTCCATCACTATGGCTACCTGTCAATATACTGGTAGGTTGACCTGGTAAAAGAACACACTACCTATTCATGAACGTTCCAGAATTTTAATGAAGAAGAGCTCAGCACTACTGGGTAGGAAAATACACCCAACTAAGGGCACTGCAATACACAGTTCCTACAAGTTTGCTTTCGGTATTTTTTTCCACCCGCCAGAGTGTCTCAGGAAACTTGAAGCAAGATGCTCTCCATCAGCTAATTTTGACTCTTGACACCCTTAATATTTTAGGAGTAGAAGTATGCAGGGAACTCTGTTTATCAACCGTATCTTTGTTTTGTTCACATCTCGTTTTTCAGTTTGAAAGGAAAGAAGAGATGTCACAGGTTTTATTGAATAACACAGCTGCAGTAGGTTTGGTATGAATCCAAACAGGCCGACGGTTGGTCCAATAAGTTGCTTATTTTCAGCATGTTATAACTACTGTTCCTAAGGAGGACACTCACTTAAATTTACGTTCCTCCAAAACATACTGAACAGTATTTTTAAAAATAGTGCTTGAATAGAGCTGCATACATCACTAGACTCCTTCCCGAGAAAGTTGCTGGAGCTTTTTTTCCTCCCAAATAAATACTTCAAGAATTGTCTGAGCTTTAAAGTAAAACTACAGGTATGTCAGAACAGGTTAACAGAATTTGCTCTTAAAAGGCTTCAGCTCAGCCATTAACACTAAACTGATCAGCAGTTTCACAAGTACATTTGCACTCTCAAACTGGTCTGGCTAGCAGAATTTAACCCATTGAAAACTTGAACTAAAACTTAAAAACCGAGCTTTTTTTCCCGTCCACTTGGCTCCAACAATTATAGCACTGATGAGAAAAAGTTATTCACTATAAACCATTGTGCAAAGGCAATACAATTAAACTGCCTATCCTTTTTTGCTCTGCTGGAGACAAATGCAGACGTATCTCAGCTTGGCAAAATCATCATTAGTTTTAGCAAAAAAGTTGTCAGCTAAAATTAAAGAACATTATCAAAACACCATGCCACCATAATCCAAATTTGATAACATGAAATCCATTATATTCACGCAGCTTTGATATTAAAGTTACAAAGAGTATATGAAACCCCTCCGAACTTCATGGTTCCCTACATTAGGGCTGCAGGACACTGCCTACATGACTGCTTTACTGTCCTCCTGGAGTGAAGTGTGAGGTTTGATGCTGGGAAACCAGACTCTTCCACTTGTAGAAAATACACCCAGAAAAATAAGAAAAACTTCAACGCAGCACTCCAATGGACTAATGAAAATACTAGTTAGGGCTGTGACTTTGGTAGTACAGTGGGCCATTACAAAAATAATCCATTTAAAACTGGAAGACTCATTTTGTCAGCTGTGGAATACTAAATCATCTGAAAACCTCCCAATACTGCCCCCTTACAGTATATCCGTTTGCTGTCCCGCTTGCTGTTGTAATAAAATAATAAAACTCTTCCATTCCCACGATAATTATTCCAATAATAGCCATAATGTTTTGTCAGTCAGTTGTTTTAAAATTGTATTACTGAACCTTTGGCATACCCAAAACAGTCTTGTAACACTCATGTAGTGTCACAGCCCACTGAAAAAAGACTGGGTCACCGGGAAAAGTTATTCAAATTATGCTCCAAGTTAAAGCCTTACGATAACACTTACGGGACTGCCTAGATCATATTGCCACACGTTTTATCAGTGTAGTGTGACTGCAGCACAGTTCCAACGCAAAATCTACTTTGGAAAAAAATCAGCGGTTATCTTTGAGCTTTCACGTTTTCACAGTTAAGTATTTCATATAATCTCGATGATCTTACTTGTTGAAGCCACAGGAATGTTGGGAAAATTAGTGGTGCTGGTAGTGCTAGCCTCAGTAGGAGCTAACATGGCTGGGGTGCTATAAGGCTCTGTAGATGCCCTGTTACTTGGTGGGTGCTGGATGGTTTGGACTGAATGGCCTTCAGCAGAAGACAATGACGGCTGCCCCTCGTAGTCATGAACGTATTCGTCTTTCACCAACATGCTTGATGGAGCTGTGAAGAAGCAGACAGTTATTAAACGCGCAAAGCAAACCAGTTTTCAGCATTAAACTACAAAATTGCACTGCTACTTTCAAGCAATAACAATGCTATTAAAACTACTGGGGGGAGGATTTAACCTATATAAACATTGCTAAAGCACTCCTCTAAATTACAAATAAACACTCCAAGTCAGCAGTGGGAAATTTTGCAGCCTAACTAGACGGAAAAGCAAACTTTTGCTTACTGCTACCAAAGAAGCAGTTTAGTCCCGCAGTAGTAGACTCTAATGGCGTTTTGTTTTCTAGTCCACCATTGTGCGATTGGACACGGTTAATAAAAGCAAAAACATGCTTTTTGTGAAGCACCTAAATATATGTTAATGCAGTAGCTAACAAACCAATTCCTAGCATACAAGTAAGAACATACATAAAACTCCCACGAAAAATGTAATTCATGAACACAGCACATCAAAAACTTCATGCATCCCTTGAGTAATTTTAAGTAGCTCCCATCCAAATTGACTAGAAACATCAAATCCACATTCAAAGACAATATAACACTATTGTATATTTAACAATGTAGCCACTAATTCAGAACACCCCACACACAGCGTAAGGAAATCACTACCATCACAACTACAAGAATTTATTTCTATATATCCTATTGAGCATGTGGAAGTAAAACTCTTACACTACACTAGCTCCCGTGCTGATTTTTGAAGCAGCCTTAAAGATATTAAAATCTGACAGTAATTTTCTGTTTCCTGCTGGAAAAACAGTAGCACGACAAGGAAACACTTATGTATTTAACTGCTGGCTGGTAAGCTTTTGATTCTGCACAAAAGGATCATTTTTCAGAAGACACAGGTAACAATGCAAATTAGCAGAGATGAGCACACAAGTTAAAGCTTGTGAAGTTAACGGTTTGTTGGGTTGTTTTGGGTTTTTTTTAAGTAATTTTTGCTTGAATACTTGTAATACCCACCCAAATTTCCTTCTCTACAAATTTCTTCTGGAAGGTAAAAAAAAAAAATCAGTTTTGAAACAAAGCAGTTAGTAGCTGCACAGCCTCAGATTTCTGTATAATGTTCATTGGACGTTTAATGTCCAATTTCTCTCAAATTTCAAGGAGAGCAAGAATATTAGACTGCTTCATTCAACTGCACATTAGTTACAGAATTTATATTATTTTCTTGTTAAACTACTTATTAAATCATAAGCATCTATTATTCCCAATTCAATTAATTAGTGTATTATACGGCTGCACACAGTTTGGGGTGTTTATTTTTTTTAATTAGCAGTATTTGACGGTTATTGAGGTTTTTGATTTTCTTTTTTGTTGGGGTCTATAAGTCATAGGCAATGAAAAGAAAACATACCTACAAGCTGAGCTGAAGCCTCAATTGAAGGAATTTATTAATATCTGCCTGTCATACGCTACTTAGCTGGTTTTCCAAAACCAGAGAGACAAATACATTTCCATCTGCTCTCCATCCTCCCTCCCAAGGAGATACTCAGGAATAAACTGTGTACATGCTGAAGAGTTTAACACAGATTGTGCCCATAGAAATGCAACAGTAAAGAGAAATACTTACCAGAACTCTGTAGTGTCAGTCCTGAGAGATCTTTAAAAAGAAAAAGAAAAGGGGGTGTGGAGGTTTATACACACAGAGCTCTTCAACGATGTTTGAACATTAAGTTTATATGGCTTTATAAATCAGTATTACAGACTCTACATATTTTACCCCCTCCATCACAATACAAGCCTCAATGCTAAGTTTTTCCTAGGATACACATTAATTGTAAGAACTGTGTGCAAGCCAACAGAAAAGCTTAAACAAAAGCCACAAACTGTTCTTTCAAATTTGGAATAAAGGTAAAAAATAATTCCATTAAGAAAATGGACACAAGTGTATGAGAATAATTTATAACTAGATCATTAAAAGTTAATGTTTCTCATTTAAGCCCTTATTTTCTACACTCAAAAGGAAAACATTTTACATTCTATTCTCACTGTTCCATTTTAAATCAAGAGTCTACTTACCAATGCCAGGCGATACTACACGCTCATAATGGTAAGGATTTACACAGACACTGTCACATTTTAAGTCAAAAGCATACTGACAATATTTAACATGCTTGAGTTCATTTTTATGAAGATCAGGCCACCTCCAAAGACGAGCGTAAATCACATGAGGGAATCCCTTGCGACCAGCCACCTAAAAAGTTAGACACAAAAGTTGATTGGGAAAGTAGCAAGACATTTCCCTTTATTTAGTGAGGAGCAAAGCTGGAAGGGGACAAACAACAACACAACCTCTCTCCATCATCAAAATATGAAAAAAAAGATGGTGTACAGTTTACCCAAGTTCTGTACTCAACAGAAATAAAATTCTATTAGGGTTTTGCTACAGTTAAGTCAACACTGTGATTCTTGAGAAAAAATACTGGACACAAAATGGCAGAAGCAGAATTTGTGCTTAATGTAGTATGTATGGCCACCTTCCCCACCATGGATGATGCTTTGCCCCAGAAGAAGAGGAACGAGGCACTAAGCTACGCTATAAGGAATTTACAAGTAGAAGAATGCCAATCCATTATATTGAAAAAAAAAAAAAATGCTTCTAGGGTAAACAGAAAGCTAGCCAGCAAACAGGACATCTGTCCTGGAACAAGGAAATCGCAGCCCAAGCTATACAGGTACTGAGTACTGACGATCTAAGGCTAACATAAATCCTCAGTGCAGACTCCTTGGAGTACCTTAGCAAGGGATCATAGGTCTTTCTTCACACTGCTGACCAACACAGAGCTAACAGAAGCTTGTAGTGAAAATACCAGGATAAACAGCCGAATTTGTTACGTGACCCTGCTTTTTACTGCCACACACACACTCTTTTAGAACGGCTGATCCCAACGCCTTCTGCTCCTTCTGAAAAAAAATAATCAACTACTGCAGCAGTCCAGAGCTCCAGCCACAAAACATGTCTACAAACGGGGGCGAGGGGGGATGCAAGAGAAGAGCTACTCTTCCTCAACACTCTAGGATCCTGCGTCACTCACTTTTGCTCCAGCTTCACTAGGAGGAAAACATCTGATTTTTCACTTGTACTAACCTGAAGCCTCCCATCCAGCGTTCTCTGTATTGTAACACACTTGCTAGGATGAGCTCCATTTGTGGTTATAGCTGTAATCAAAGAATCCAATTCATCTTTTTTCTCCTTTAGCTTTTTAACTAAACTTTCAATTGCGCGTTTTGCAAAAGTTTCACTCTCTCCACCTTGTCGATGGCACATCAAGCTGTGAACAATGCTCAGACAAGCATCATTACTTGTTGGCGTGTTAGTAATAGACATATTGTCCATTTGTCACAGCTTTTTCTTTCAGATCAAATGTCAGTTTTGGGGGCTGTTATGATTTTCAAGCTGATGAACAAGAGATGATCCAAGTTAAGTGTTAGATGTACTGTCTCTTGGTAAAACCTAGGAGGAAAAAATATCTACATTAGAATTGTTTTTAACAAATTGCAGATCAAGTTTCTAAGGAAGTCTGTGGCTTTTTGCTTCTTTTATTTTCAAGCTCAGTGCAGGATATTAAAAGCACATGAAAAAACTGCATTGCTTGTCCCATGATAGCTAAAACATGCTTAAGACACTGCTTGCACAGTTTTAGAGATAAGATTTTTTTTTTCCCCTAGTAACAATATTTAAATAAAGATTATCGTTTATATACATGTACACATAGTATGTACATATAGAAAGGTAGGGATTATTAGATGAATCAGGAAAAGGAGAACGGTGACAATGATTTCCTATGTTTTATACTGGTAGGATGAAAACAAGTAAAAATACTGACTGGGAATCAAGGGGCATTGATTTAAACAAAATTTGAATAGTGAAGAAGCATGAATGCACACCAGAATCATCTGTCATCTTTATTTAATAATCCTGTCCAAATAGTTCAGCTATGTTCTGACCTCAGACTAAGCCTATTTCTCTTTGCTAATCAGAAAGGACTGAGGTCAGAACATAGCTGAACTATTTCTCTTTGCTAATCAGAAAGGCAAAAATTGTATCTGGTCATTCGCGTAACACACATTTATGTAAATTAGTAGTGCGTGTATCTTTATACACAAAAAGCCCAAGTGGTACGTTTGTCTTTACTTGTTTGGATCCAGCTTCTTCTGGATCAAGACAAATCAACTGAAGCCACTAAAAAAGCACTTCTAAATTGTCTCAAACAGAACTGCCTTAGTTACACTAAATATAAGATAAGGAATAAGTCCATCCTAACACATTTGGCCTTTCAACTCCATTTGTTAAGAACCTGCAGTGGTTTCTGGTCATGAAGTCATTCTTCTCAAAACCAGCAGACCTCATCCTTTTGAAGTTTCCTTTAATTCACAAATTAGAAGAAGAGCTGGCCTGATTTTCTCAATTCTGAATGAGCTAATTACTACACTTTATCTTGCTTTATCCAGAAACATCGGCCAGCAGGTTTTATGCATTCACAGAAAAGGAGTCTAATGTTGTCAAAAAGCTGCTTTGGTTCTTCAAGCAGTCATCCACCAACACCATTCTACCAACCACGTGGTCTGACTTTAAGACACTGGCAGCGAATACACATAAGTGATTTTACTACATTTACATTTTCTGAGTAAGCTTAAAATATAAGCCTTTCCAAAACTAGTAAGTTGTTCTTAGCAACGTAAATAAAATACATTTGATTTCAATAGTTAAGGACAACAAGTTTGTTCACATTATCTGAGAAACACATCCAGTCAAAGACCTGTTACTGCACTGGAATTTTCCATGTTATTAGAGGTACAGTAGGAGCAGCTATTTATTGGAAACAAATGCGTTGCACAAAAATAAGAGTGGGATGTTAATTTAGAAAGGTAACGCATCACACAAATTACAGTGTGAACGCGTGGTTTCCCTTCTTGTAAAAGGAATATTGTAACACAAAGCCAGCACAATTATAAAAGGAAACAAAGTCTTCCCTATTTAATATTTTCTCCAATTTCAACTTGAATACAGCATGCTTTGGTATACTTGGAAAAACACACCCGAAATCCTTCCCACACCCCCTCCATTTTCAACAGGTTTCTTCTTTCGTAAGGATGCTTCTGGACCTAATTTCTCCTAAAGGAAAACAATTATCTAAAAGTTTGAGTAAGATCATTTTACCTAGCTATTAAAGTTCCTCCCTCAACGCTAGGTTTTTTTGCACTTCAATTCAATAAACCTCTTTTAAAAGTCAAGCTTAACCTGCCAGTCATTCTCCATGGTAACCTGCACTCACATAAATCCATAAAAGCTTGCCAGCTAAAACAGAATAGAACATAATTTTTCTTAAATATAAAACAGCACCTCAGATAGATATGCATAAATACTCATAAACAGCTAAAACAGAATAGAACATAATTTTCCTTAAATATAAAACAGCACCTCAGATATTTATGAGTATTTATGCATATCTAAGTGACTAGATAAAGCTATTAGCCAAAAGAGCTTTAAATAAAGAGATGCTTAAAATTAGACATGCAGCTCTATCTTCTACACCCCTAAAACCATGAATGAGAATTTTCCTTGCTGACTTTCAGAAGTCTAAGATCAAGCAAATAAACCCTTATTTAAGTGGAACTATCTTCAGAAATGTTGAGTCACCCCTCAGCTGCCACTGTGCTCAATAGGAGCTTCTGACTGTTCAGCACTTTTGAAAGCCGGGCCACTTGTTTAGGATTTTGAATACTGGTACACACTGCCGGCGCGTAATTGCACAGTAATTCAGGAGCCTTCCTTTAGAAGTCCCCCTCTACAGAAATCCTGCTTTTAATCTTGCAATTTCAATCCCCAGAAAAATTGGTAGTCCACGGCTACCGGCCTGGCACAGATTGATAAATACGGTGACATAGTGCTTCTGAAGCACCAGAAGCATTAGTATATTTTGCAGACGAGCCAAGTTTTTACGTTCCACAAATTTAGTTTCTCACGCAATAGCTCTACAAGCCTATCTTTGACTGAGTCACACATTCAAGAGGTGCCTTAACACCTTCTTACTATATTACTTTCATGTGTGCAAATAAAAGCAAAATGCAATCTTAATGCGTTGTATTTTTAGAAGATAGCCTTTGAAGATAAGGTTCCAGCATGCCCTCAGACATGGAGTGCTAAGTTCTGGAAAACAACGGTATGCTTGTGTGATTTAACGTTTATTTGATGCGAGCATGAAACCTCAAAATCGTTCCTTAGCATGCCCCCCGCCCAAGTAGGTGATCCCACGCTACAGCTCAAGCTTAGATTTACAGCAGAGTAGGTAGGGCCAAATATTTTGAGCAAAGATCTTCTTACTTCCCTCCACCCGTGAATTTTATGGAGACAGCAACGGACGAGAGAGTGCTTTGGGGGAAAAGGGGCAGAGAGAAGAGGCAGGGGACACAAGAAAAGCAGCAGCAGGAGACAGCGCTTGTAGTGAAGCTCTCAGCTTCGCCTATTAAAGAAGAAAAAGGTATTTCTCTCCCTTTTGCTGTAGTGCGATGCGAGCAGAACACGGGGCGAAAAAAACGGGACAGGCTATCATTATATGCTAACAAATTACAAAGTTATAGAAACAAAATTATTTCAATAACGGGTATGTTATGAAACAAGTGAACAACTAGCGTCCTGTGATAGTCTAGGCATTGTAACAAGAGTAAGATCCTCGGAAGAGGAGATAAATCTGCAAGACAAAAGAAGTTAAGATTGCCAGGTAATTAAAAACACCTTTGATGATCTGTAGCAAACACTCTACTATCTCGGAGAACTGATAAGTAACCATTAACTGAAACTCTTCCTTCAAGACTGATGCAGACTCGAAAAAATACCATAATTCTTCTGTACATCCTACTTCCCCGCGGCTGCCTTGCTGAAGGGTGATGTATCTTTTTAGCCTGTGCAATGAAATTCAAAACATGAAGCAGCTGTCTAAAATTAAAAATGCAACACTGGTGCCACATGCCTCATTTTCACGTCTGTGGATAATTCTGCCAGAAATGGTTACCTGAACAATATAAATAGATTCTAAAAAACACAGGCGTCTATAATAGTATGCTATCTCATATAACTAAAATCAAACATATTATTGACTTATCTACGTGGAAGTAACATTACCGAGCTCTCACACTACTGCCCTCAATGCACTTACATTTATCTAACAGGCAGGAGAGCAAAATAAGCACTGTACTGACTCAAATGATTCCACTGTTCCCAGATCAACTGCTACATTCTCTCTCAAAACAGCGATCGTTTTACTAGCGCGACTAGAAAACGGAGACCGGGTTTAAAGTCCAGCATCTTCTGCAAAAGCTGCAGGAGAGCATTCCCGTTTGTGGAAGCAAGGTGCTCCTGATCAACCAGAAAAAAACTGAGCAAAGTACAAAAAGCAGATGAGATCTCCCCCAAAGGGGTAATAGATGCATTTATGGAACAGAAAATTAATATTCCACCTTGTTTGCCAGTATCTCTTCAGCTGCACCAGCAAGATAATATTATAAGCTAGCACGGCTTAAGAACAAGGGCTTTTACATGCCAAAAAACAAGGGTAACAAAAACAGCGTGAGCCGTGACTTCAAAACATTTGCAGCAACTCCTCAGGCAGCATACTAGGTATTTAAGAGATACGATCATTTGGAAGGCCTCACACGAGGCCCGAGAGTTGCAGGGGTACCTTTCAGTTCGAAATTCATCAAAAAAGCACACAGATGCAGATAGACATAGGCAGACACACATGCACGAAGAAGGTACGAGGGTTTTAGAAAGAGAAAAAAGTTTCTCTGCTTTTGATGGTTAGAAAAAAAAAAAACCCACACGGATTCCATTTCCTTGCTTTTACAGGGGTATTCGTACAGTTGTACAGAAGCTCAACTGAGATGTAAGGGCAGGGGCTGCTAAAAAAATACAAAGACTTCACCTAAACCCCCGTCAATGTGCCTTAGACATTCAGATAAGCAAATTTTGAAACTTCTCTGAAAAGCCCCTTCCTCCAAACAATTCCCATTTCCAATCCTCTAATGCGGCTGAAATTTGCTGAATAGTTACAAATCCAGATTTCTTAAAAAGAACTCACCTTCTTTTCTACATACTAAGAACAACCTTAAATGAATACTTTTTACGCTCACAAGTCACTTATCTTTCTCCTCTCCTCCCACAAAAGCCACACTGTGCAATTTGGGGAGAACCATCAAGCCCAAACAAAAAAAGGAAATAGTACGCTTACGCAGACAAACCAGAAGGTTATGGATGGAGCTGGAAGTCGGGGACGTAACCCAAAGGAATACGATCCAGGCAATCAGCAATCCAACAGCTCGGGCAAGACGGTTAATCCA